GCGCATGATGCATCTGGCCCATGGGCTGGGAGTTTGACAGCCCTGTTATACTACTTCAATTTAAATTTGTTCAAAAGAATGCATTGTAATCTTTAAACCATGTTCATCTCTTAAGATGTGTGAATAAATGCAATTGAGGTTTATTTAACTCACTGTTAAACAACCCAGAACTCCATAGTGTAAACCCAGTTGTTCTTTGTTAAGAGTAGATAACGGAACTCTGTTCTTATTCGTCCACAAATTTCAATTGGTGATTCTGCTGTTATCTGTTTTTAGGGAATGCTCCTTAATTTCTGATTCCTATTTTGTCTTGTGATTTCTGGAGATGCTTTGTAGCTGATTCTATCAGATTCATTTCTTCTCTCCCTGCTTCAGTCAGGATCTGTAGTATGTTTAAATATAGACTGATGGATATATTTTGACAATACCTAGGCAGTATTGATTCCTCTGTACTCACACACTCCTAAGAGAGGCCTGTTTAGCATCTTCTTTGTTTTTGGAGAAAAGGTAATCCTCATTTAGCAAATTGCCTTATTTAGTGACTGTTTGTAGTTTTATGGTGTTAAAAAAATAACTTTACAACCAATCTCACACTTATGACCTCAGGTCTATCAAGCAAAGGGAAGCTGAAGAAAGATCATAAACACAGTGTAGAGGGCCTTTCTTAACAACCAGTTGTGTTTCCCAATCATGAGCACTAAACGAGGATTATAGTAGTTAAAACCTACTTTTCCAGCTACTTAAATTGTGCTAGCTATTTAAAATGTCTCAACTCTGCGGTCTGGCTCTGCTTTCCATATAAATTGCTTTGTTGCTTATTTCTTATTTTGAAATCATTTGTGATTTGTTGTAGTAGCAATATATTTTGTTGTTTTATTATACTCTAAAGCCCTGAATGTGCTTAATGGGACTAATGAATTGTATGGCTCAACATGCCACCTACCACAATTGTTTTATCATCTTAAAAAAATGTCTGTATACATTTCAAATTCCGTTTATCTGACATTGACTGTACAATTGTGATTAAAAAACTGTAGTGCAATCTTAATAGTCTTAGTTGCTTTTGAAAATTATCTAAGACTGAACTGAGAAAAAGAGCAACACAAGTTGCTCTTTTTAGGGGGTGTGCACAAGCACACCAAGGTGCCTATCGTCCCTGTCCTATTTTTTTTCCTTATATGTATCCATTTCTTGTATTCATAACTATGTTTATACTTATACCTGTTATCTTATAATTGCTTCACAAAATAAAATAAAATAAAATAAAATAAATTCTCCTACAGTTCCAAACCATCTGCGTCTTTGCTGATTTGCTGAAGTTAAATTAAGCAACTTGGTGGCCTCTGGGTAACACATATACTCTCTTAGGGCCCACCAGATTCTTTTTCTCTCCCGATTTAATTTTTAAAAGATTATTCTTTCAGATGCTGCAATGCACCAGTCTCTAGCATAATTACTCAGGAAGACCCTGGACCCCCTTCCAGTGGCCCCAACTGGGATAAGAAAAAGAGAAATATTCATGAGATGAAGAATAGAGGCTGTAGGTGGGTGGAGCAACCTTGCCACTTTGTTTAAGGTAGTCAAACAAAGGTAGTCCTTGACTTATAACAGCTCATTTAGTGACCGTCCAAAGATATAACAGCACTGAAAACGTAATTTATGAGATTTTCACACTTATGACAGTTGCTGCATCGCCATGGTCATGTGATCAAAATTCAGACGCTTGGCAACTGACTCGTCTTTATGACAGTCACAGTATCCCGGGGTAATGTGATCCTCTTCTGCAACCTTCTGACCAGCAATCAATGGGGAAGCCAGATACACTTAACAAGTTTGTGACAAATGTAACAAGTGCAGATTCACTTGACAACTGTGGCAAGAAAAGTTATAAAATGAGGCGAAGCTCACTTAACAAATGTCTCGCTTAGCAACAGAAAGTTTGGGCTCAGTTGTGATCATAAGTTGAGGACTACCTGTATTTTTGATATTTGGCCATGCTTATAAATAGCAGTCAGTCACTAGAGACTCACAACCTTCAATGATCATAGGATTTCCACTGTAGTGTAGAAAATCAGTGATCAATGGAAAATGTCAGATGGAAAGCAGAAATTGGCAAGAGTGGTTGATGAAAGATCTCTCCTCATTTTTCTAACAGCTCAGATATGTATGGAGGCAAAGATGAACCACAACGAGCTGATGACTATGGGCTAACTTTTGAGTATGAAATAGTTCTTGAGAAATTTCAAGCCCTAAAGGCTCAAGATTTATGAAAGTCCCACCCCTAAAGAAGCCTCCATATGACCAGTACAGAACAGACTCCCATTTTCTTTAACATTTATTCATCATGTTTAACTTATTCAGGTATCACAGTTTTTTTACATTAAAATATTTCCATGCTATTTCCCCATCCCATGATTCCCAACCCTCCCCAGATTCGAAGAAAAATAGAATTGACACAACTTCAATGGAATGCATCAAGAGTAAAGGGGGGGAAAGGCTACTGCACCCAAGTTACAGAGCACACAGAACAAAACAGTGCAAAGAAGATCTGCATAGGACAAAGCTTGGGAGGGCCAAAGGGGTCAACAATCTTTGTAGCCTGAACATCACAAACTTCTTCAAGCAACACCCAGCTGAGACCTGGGATGCTGTCCTGTAGTTTTGTGATCTAGATCACCGAAATTGGGAGTGGTGGAACAGGCCCCCAGGAAGTCTGGAAACCAAAATTAAAGTGAAAATATACCTCTTATTTGCCTCTGGGCTTTGAAATTCACGCAAGCCTGTTCTAAAAAATCATTGGGTTGCCAACACCATCTACTGCCTGGTGCCAAAGCAATGTTTAGAACTGTGCTCAATGGCTAATGAACTTCTCCTTTGGAAGATGACTTAAGAAAAATCCCAGGTGGGGATAGGGTTCAAACCTAAATACGTTCCAAAGGGTCTCTCAGTAACAAGACTTCAAAATGGCCATTTGCATGTTCAGTGTGCCTTCTTACTTTCTAGATCATTAGGAATTGAATAAGAAGACTCCTTGGTCCAAACTTTGAAATTATCTACACATATTTCAAAGGCTCCTCAGCATTGTTCAAATATAAGGGTCTGCTGCAGTTGGAAACACTGGGCCTTTTTCAGAGTATTTTGAAAACTAATAAAGGAGAATATTTGTAGCTCAGAATTGATATGAAGGGTCCTTGGTGCTGTCTGAGCTGGTTTGTTTTCTTGCAGATATTTCATGACCCAACTAGGTAACATCATCAGTGCTGGTAAGGAGTGGGTTTGCTCTCAATTTATATTCTGGTGACTTGCATGTCAGTGTTATTGGGGTGGTCTTAATTTGGTTGGGCTGTTTACTGTTGGCTTGATAGTTTCTTGATACCCCAGTCAAGTAAGTTCCGAAGAGCCCATAGTAAACAACCTAACCAAATAATCTCTACGACCACCTCCACCAACACTGACAGGGCAAACCACTAGTATATAATCCGACAGCAAACCACACTCTTTATTAGCACTGATGACGTTACTTAGTTTGGGTAATGAAATGTCTGCAAGAAAACAACCCAGGTCAGACAGCACCAAGGACCCCCTCATATTTTGAAGACTGATGCTGTACCAAACAAGATAACTGTTAGTTGCAGGCATCCTTACCCTCAACATTTGCCTTGATTACTTTGCATGAAGCATAGGAAAAAAAGGGGGGAGGAAACTCCTGTTTTGCTGCTGTTTCATATTTATGTCCACAACTGCATAAATGTGCAGATGCAACCAGGCAATGGGACTGGCCACCTGGAATGTAGTCCCTATGCAAAGTTTTCACAGAAGAGGTAGGAATCATGTACTTTTCCTGGGCAGACAACAGGATATGCAAATATTGCAAAATCACTGTTGGGCCATTTCCTAGCCATACAATAGCTAAAGCAAATGGTGTTTCGTGGGCTTGAAATTCTACCAGTAGCCAGTGTAACCTAGTGGGTAGCTTTCTCTTGTCCACTTGTCTGCAGGATGGCTTAAGAGTGGAGTAACCCCTGAATACCAAAACTCCTAAGTGGACAAAGATGGCCTGACCAAGGAATACAACTTTTCTCAACTTTTGATGGGTCTAGCTTTTCCTTCCACGACTAGATGATTTTTCTCATGCTCCAACAGTCCGAAAATGGCATGGCAGCCAACTCTGTGTACTTTCTTCCTTCGCGACCACATAAAGGAGAAGAAACAAAAACCCTTGCAGCAAAGCAAAGAAAATTCTAAAAATACACAATTTCCTCCCAGTATATGTAAACCACTCAAGTTACCAGTGTTTGAAAAGGAGCGTATTTTAAATTCTTCAAACATCAGCAACACTGGCACAAATATGTCACTTATTCTTGGTTTAATTACAGGGCTGACAAGTAAACACCAATACAAGGGGGGGGAGGAAATTCAGTATTTTGGGGGGGAAGCAAAAGGTGCAAGCTAATGTTTTGCAGTGGAGTCTCGGGGATAGAACTCTGCCAAAGTGCTCTGAGGAATCCTCTTCAGCATCTCCTTGGGGAAAATACGTAGCAGCTGCCAGCCAATGTCCAGCGTTTCGTAAACAGTTCGGTTTTCATAGGGCCCTGAAACAATAAGAGAGCAGGGTCACATGCTGAGATCCAGATGAAACAACAATGTCCCCTGTCATCTGAGAGTCAGCTTGATCTAGTGATTAAGGCACCAGTCTAGAGACTAGGAGCCCGTGAGTTCCAGTCCCACCTTAGACGTAAAAACCGACTAGATGTCTTTGGGCCAAACATCAGGAGACTGTGAGTTCTAGTCCAGCCTTAACCATGAAAGCTGGCAGGGTGACTGGGCCAGTCACTCTCTCAGCACACTCTTTCACCACCTCACAGGGTTGTTATTGTGGGGAAAGTAGGAGGAGAAAGGAGTATCGTGTGTTGGCTGCTTTATTTGTAAAAATAATAAAGGCAAGATATAAATAAATAAATCTGAAAGACAATCCCTACCCTGAGCAATGAAGTTTTTCTCAAACTTCTGCAGAAATTCAAGGTAGAGAAGATCATCAGAAGTAAGTGCTTCTTCTCCTACTACTGCCTTCATGGCTTGGACATCCTTCCCAATGGCATAGCAGGCATACTAAACCAAAACAAAACAAAAAATTAAAGAACTGTGAAGTTTGTCTCCATATTTCAACCAATGCGAGTTTCATAGGAATTTTGAGATTATTTCTGGCATGAAAGGCAATTAGATATACTTACGATTTATTGGGATCCTACTTCTCATAAAAATTGAGTTTTTATTATTTTATTAAATATTTTTTCTATAAGTAAAAAAATAAATCTAATAAAGGAAAGAGAAAGGAAAGAGAAAAAGAAAGAGAAAAAGAAAGGAAGAAAAGCTTTTCAATGCAAGAAAATGAAGGAATTACAGACCTCTTTTAGTAATTCCACTTACCAGCTGGTTTGATACTTCAGCATGATCCTTTCTAGTCATTCCCTCCCCAATAGCAGATTTCATCAATCGAGACAAAGAAGGAAGTACATTGATGGGTGGGTAAATCTGGAAGAAGAACCAGGTTTTAACAACAGCTCTAAAAATTTGGAAATGTGATTTCCAGTGAAGAAATGATGGACTGAAGAAGGCTCTGTGAAAAGTGAAGCCAGTAATCATGGCAGAACAAAGAGATGGCAAATAGATCAGCTCTTTGATAATTCCTTCTTGGACTTCATGTATAACAGGCACAAAGCAGTATTTCACAACATGAAATACTAACCTGTCGATTGTGCAGCTGTCTGTCTACGTAGATTTGGCCTTCGGTAATATATCCCGTCAAATCAGGAATAGGATGTGTTATATCTTCAAGAGAAATTGAATTAAAGCTTTTAATTTTGTGCAAATTACATGACCAATTACTCATTTGTTTCACATGCAACCTATTGAGCCACAAGAGCTGTGGTAGCATAGTGGTTAGAATGCAGTATTACAGGCTAATTCTGCTCGAAATGACTGTGAGCTGTTCGATTCTCACAGCTCAAGGTTGACTCAGCCTTCCATCCTTCTGAGATGGGTAAAATGAGGAACCAGATTGTTGTGGGCAATAGGCTGACTCTGTAAGCCACTTAGAGAGGGCTATAAAGTACTATGAACTAGTATATAAGTCTAAGTGCGATAGCTGTTTATATCTTAGTGTATTCAATGAACCCAGCCATTATGGTTTATTTATGACTGAGCATGAACTATAAATCCAGCCACTGTGACACACTTGCCTAAGCAGAAGGAATAGAAAAGGTGATCCAAATACAAAGATGGGGAAAGCAAAAACCACCAAATGCTGGGGAAAAAACCTTCCCTTGCCTAAGAAAGCTGTGCAAGGAAATCCTGGAATTACAAACACAGCTGCCCAGATGCTCATAGCACCAGTGTCTGAATTGTGAAATGTTTGCCCATCAGGCTTAATGCATTTAATCTAGCCTGCAGGGCGAGATGCAGAGGTTGAGAGAAGTTCCAGGATTAAAAATAAGCCTGAAAGAGAACTTACCATCATTGGGCATGGTAAGAATGGGAATCTGGGTAATGGACCCACTCCTGCCTTCTACTCGTCCAGCTCGTTCATAGATTGTGGCCAAATCTGTATACATGTAACCAGGAAAACCACGCCGACCTGGTACTTCTTCTCTGGCAGCTGAGACCTTTGGGAAATGAAGGTAAATAGGTTGGAATAACCAGTCGAAGCAAGAAAATACAAAGGGGTCTTCAAACCTCTGCCCGCAAAGCTACCCTTTGACCCTGCACACCAGATCACTAGTTTTCATCCCTCTGATCTCTCTGTGAAATTTAAGATTGTTGCCATCGCCTTAACATAAAGAAATATTTTCCTGAAACCCAGAGTCTAGCTAATGGGCATGCAACAGGTTTTCATACCCGCTGAGGACTTGAATACTGTACACTTTTACTAAATGCTCTTATGAATTCATTCATGTTATATATGAAAGACAATAATGTCAGAATATTCTATAGTAATTATTCTCAAAAAACCATAACCTTCAGATTGTTAGTTAATTTTGTGCCTTACAAGGTAGAAAATCCAAGCTGGCGAAAATATTTGGCTGCACAGTTCAACAGTTGTCTAATTAATAGACTAAATATGTACCTCTCTCAGAGCTTCTGCATAGGAGCTCATATCTGTCAGAATGACCAAGACATGCTTCTCACACTGATAAGCCAAGAATTCTGCTGCAGTCAGCGCAAGACGAGGAGTGATTATCCGTTCAATGCTGGAAAAAATAATGAGCTCTATTAAATAATCATGCCAAAGTGAAGGACTTGCTTTAAAAAAAAGACAGTTTAGAAGAAAAGCCTTAAAACAAGATTCAGGATCCATTGGGAGTAATTAACATGAAGAATGGAACACGAAGAATGCATGGTCTTCTTAAGGGAGTCTGCCTGAACATAATGAGGAGACAAAGGGAAGGACTTCACTCTTCTTTCAGTCACCAATAGATGCTTAGATGTTCTATGAAGGCCTACACAATCAATATCAAAGGCCCCACTTTTGGGTAATACGATTAATAGCCAAGACAAAATCCAAGAATAAAGATTCCAGTCACTTACGTTGGATCATTAGCCAAATTCAAGAACAGGCACACATTGTCCATGGACCCATTTTCTTCAAAGTCAGATTTGAAAAATCGGGCTGTTTCCATGTTCACCTGGAGAAAAGCAAGAAGATGAAGTCAACCAGTTCAAACTCAGCTTACAGAAAATATCATTGTATACTTATAAAGATGTCTACTACGTTCATAAGTTTTGACCTTTCCACCCTGATTTTTATTTGTTTAGCAAGAAAGGAAAAAAAATGCTGTCAAAAGTTTGCAGCAGTTTCAGAGTAATGGGGACAAGTTGCTCTCCCATAGAGGTGCCCATATTGTTTTGGGCAATGAAGGAGAAAATAATTTTGCATGCATTTAATTACTTACTCCCATTGCAGCAAATACAATGGCAAAGTTCTCAGCACTGTAGTCCACCACGTCTTTGGATTTCTTCACCAAGCCAGCCTGACGACAGATCTGAGCTGCTATCTGGGTAAAAAAATGGCAACATATGACTTCAATGTAATAGTTGATTATTAGGAAGAATGCAAATGATAAGGCTATCAAAGTGTCATTTATGAGAGTAACTGCTTTAATACAGGTAGTCCTTGACTTGCGACCACAAATTGATATTATTCTGTTAACTGAACCCAGAATGTAGGAGAACATAGTCATAGCCTGAGGATGGAGTCAAAAGACTAATCAGCCTAGTCATTATGTTCCCACAAGTGATTCAAGTCCAATTCTTCTTAAATTCTGTTAACTTTAATTTAGTTTTGACCATTAGTTGACTAGATTCTCATGAATAGGCATGAACAATAAATCAGCTAAACTAGAATTTAAAATACAGTCCTAATTCTTTGTGCCTGGTACAGAATGACAGTCATAACTCATGCTGGTTAAAGAGGTCATCATGTTACCAACTGGATTTTACAACTTTTTGTCAATAAGTGAACACCACAATTATTTAGTAAGTCCACTGCCTGCAATGGCCTTTTACCAGAAGCCCAAAATTAAAAAATGGGTTTCTGGCAAAATATATATATAAATATGGAATTGTCACATGACTGCAGGATACTGCAAACAACCATAAATATGATCACAGGACCGCTGGGTACCCTGGGCATCATAACTTTGAATTGTTGCTAAGCAACTGGTCATAAGTCAAGGACTGCTTATATTTGGTTTGATTACACCTAGTAGAGCATGAAGAATAGTAGATATGTAGGCATATAAGTGATCTACCTATCCAATCTCTGAGTAATGATGTTCTGGGAGGAAAACTGGATTACAAAGCAACCTACCCTCAAAAAATTACTAGTCTGAGAGAAAGCACATCTCTGAAGATCAGTCTTCATCTCATGTCCTTCAAGAATTTTTGCAAAGGGAGAGGAAGTTGTGAACCACATTCTGTGGAGAGGTGAATTTATTTGAAGTGCCTCTCCGCATCACCAAGGCATCCTTGGATTTCCTATGTCTTTTAAATGAAATATAATGAAGTTCAGCTTTCAGTATGATTTTTAGCTTAATGTTTTGACCTGTCTTAATGTTTGGATTTATTAAACAGTTTTCTTTTAAGCTTGTTTTTATTCTTGAGCTCCATGAAGGACTTGCCAGAGAGTGGCCTCCAGTTTTTTTCTTCTCCTTTTTGATCTGTCCAGGAATTCGACCAGATAGTCATCTCCAAATGGAGGAACTGAGATGACTACTCCATAAAACGCTATTCAAACCCTTACCTCATTATGGGGCAATCCAGCAGCAGAAAAAATGGGGATCTTCTGACCTCTGGCAATACTGTTCATACCATCTATAGCAGAAATGCCAGTCTGAATCATTTCTTCTGGATAGATTCGACACTGAGGATTGATAGGCTGACCTATTTCATTTTAATGGGAAAAACAATCCTGTTTAGTCTGAATTTTCCAAGAAAGTATGACCAGCATTTTCCACAAAGAATATGAAAACTCAACATATCCATATTACAATTCAAGCAATTTGTCTAAGGAAGTGGATATTTCTGAAACATCTATACCAGCGGTGTCAAACTTGTTTTCATTGACAGTGGCATCAGGGTTGTATTTGACCTCGGTGGGGCGGGAGGGCGGGGGGGCGGGGGGATGTGGCCAGGGTGGGCATGGCCAGCTCGATATCATTTGTGTTGGGACACCTGTGGTGGCCCAGGCAGGGCTGGGGGAATCCACTGTCTTCAGTGGAGGAAGGCAAGACCAGGGAGAGAGCCAAACCCTTGTCCTCCACAGGAGCCTTGCCATCCCTCTCAGGCCACAGAGAGGATCCCTGGATGGTGACGCAGGCTGTTCAGAGCCCTAGGCAGCAGAAGGCAAGTGCCCGGCCTCGCCCACATGTTCCCAGGGCACCAGGACCCCACAGGCCAGGCCAGACCCGCTTCCCCAAGGGGATGCCTGGCCGCACTTACTTCCTCCTCAAGGCTGCTGCTGATGTTCTCACTCTGCTGCCCAGGTTGAACATGGTACACATTTTCATTGATGGCCTTTCTGCAGCCCTTTGCCGGCGAAAACGCCTGAGCAGCCCCTGAGCTCAATTTTCGCTGCCAGAGGCACTGCTGGCTGGCTTTGCTGTTTCCAGGATGGTCCCATGGGCCAGATCTAAGCACCTTATAAGCATTTATATTAATGATATATTGAACATTTTAAACTTACCCATGATATCAAGGTAGTCTTCAGCCAAGACTACAGGACCTCTGTCTATAGGTTTTCCTGAGCCATTAAACACACGCCCTACAAAGATCAAAATGAGTGGGAGGGAGGGAGGGAAGGAGGGATGCATGCATTATTATCATAGAAGCTGCCACCCTGCATACAAAATAGATATCAGGACTAATCACATATAAAGTTTTCTATCCAATAAACAAAATCTGGTACTACCGAGCATATCTTCAGACACTGGGGTTCGAAGGATATCTCCAGTGAATTCACAAGATGTTCTCTTAGCATCAATTCCCGAAGTTCCTTCAAACACCTAGAAAAGGGTAAATATTTTACTTTGTGTTTTTATTTCAAAAATAGCATTATATCCATTATCACCCATGGTTTCCTAGCAAACATTTAAACATAGCAAACCAAAAATAGCTTGTCCTTTATTTTAGGCTCCAGCTTCAAGAGCTCAAAAATAGTTTTATTGTCACAAGATTATTTTGATGGGAAACTAATTCCACGCCAAACAGGAAATAAAATTATGTTAAGCTTTCCCGGAACAAAAATATTGTGAGACCAGAAACTGAATTTACTTCTCTTTCATAAGAAGCCTTGGAAGCACACAGTTTCTAAAATATTACAGCTCAATTTAATAAGCTCAATGTAAAATCTTATGTAAAAAAGGTATTGGACCCTAGAATAGCAGGCAAGTATATGGGCAGTCCTTGACTTACAACAGTTCATTTAGTGACTGTTCAAAGTTACAACAGCATAGAAAAGTGATTTATGAGTATTTTTCACACTAATGACCATTACAGCATCAAAAACCAGATACTTGGGAACTGGTTCATATTTATGATGGTTGCAGTGCCCTGGGCTCATATGATCCCCTTTTGCAACTTTCTGACAAAGTTAATAGAGAAGACAATTCACTTAACAACCATATTACTAACTTAACAAATGCAGTGATTCACTTAACAAATGTGGCAACGAAAGTTGCAAAATGGGACAAATTCACTTAACGAATGTTTCACTTAGCAACATAACCTTTGGGCTTAATTGCAGTTGTAACTCAAGGACTACCTGTAAAAGGGTTTATCCAACTAGTTCACATAGCTTATTTTCATTGCAAAATTTGAAATATGACTGGGACTCAATTTACCTGAACTACAGCTTTGGATCCACTGACTTCTAGGACTTGTCCACTTCTCTTTGTTCCATCAGGGAGTGTCAAATGCACAATCTCTGCATACCTGGGAAACTGAATGATAATAAGGACAATCAACTAGGCCAAAAGATTTTTCTAAAGAGCAGCAGAGAACACAAAATTAAAGCACAGTACATCAAGGGTGATCAAGTTCATGTCAGGGAGTAAACGTCTTGAGCCGTGTAAAAACCAAGAGTTAATTTTTGGTACAAATGAAGGGTCCAGACGCAAAACCACCCGGTTGTCATGAAACATACACAAGTCAGGCCTCACTGAAAGGGCAGCTAATTCAGACACCCTCCTGGATGACGTAATAGCTACCAAAAAGGATACCTTGAGGGTCAAAGACAAAGACCCACTGTATGTAAAGGCTCAAAGGGAGAGCCCGAGAGGGCTTGGAGAACCTTAGACAGATCCCAAGTGGGATACCTATGCACAGCAGGTGGCCGCAGATTCGAAGCTTCCCTCAGAAACCTGCGGACTGATGGGTGGTGGGCAAGGGAAGTGAACCTGTCCCATGAAATTACTGAAGTTAAAGCCGCCACCTGTCTGTGGAGGGTGTTTGGTGCAAGGCCCTTGTCCAGCCTGTCCTGGAGAAACTGTAGGACCTCCAGAACAGATGCTGAGGTGGGGTCCTGGACCCTCTCAGAGCACCACTCACAGAATTTCTTCCAGGTGACATTGTAAAGTTGGGTTGTTGACTGCTTATGTGAAGCCTGTATTGTATTACACTATCTGAAAGGTTGACCTCCCTCAACATTTGCCACTCAACTACCATGCGGTCAGCTGGAACCATTGGGGTTCCGGATGCAGAAGGACCCTGACAGAGAGATCCTCGAGGCTGGGATTTTCCATGGCCTCTGAACAGACAGGTTCACCAGGTCTGCAAACCAGGGTCTCCTGGACCAATGAGGAGCCAGCAGAATCAACTCCGCCTTTTCCTCCAACATCTGGATGATTGCCGGGATAATTGGAAGGGGGGGAGGTGTAGAGGAGACCTGGGGCCATTTGCTCCAAAGTGCATTGGTCCCCTCTGCTCCCTGGGTTGGGAACCTGGAGAAAAACCTGTTTACCTATGTGTTCTGGGGAGTGGCGAAGAGGTCCACCTCTGGAGTTCCAAAAATGTGGGACAATTCTATGAACAAGGGAGGATGGAGTCTCCATTCCAAGTGGTCGACTTGAGTCTGACTCAACTAGTCTGCCTGGGAGTTGTCAACCCCCAAAATATGGTACACCCTGAGGGACAGGAGGTTCCTCTCTGCCCATCTCCCCAGACGTTCCGTCTCCCGTGTCAAAGCCCTGGATTTGGTTCCCGCTTACCTGTTGACATGAGCCTTGGCTGCTATATTGTCTGTCATAACTAGCACATGGGACCCTGACACTAGGTTCCAGAAACTTCTCAGCGTGAGAAAAATAGCCCTGAACTCCAGGAGGTTGATGGGAAGAGACCTGTCTGAAGACGGCCAGTGTGCTTGGGCCATCCGGCCCTGGGCATGCGCTCCCCAGCCGTGAAGGCTGGTGTCCTTAGTCACTACAATTCTGTTCCTCACCACAAAGGGATGATCCTTCGTGATGGCCTGGGACTGCCACCATCGAAAGGATTGAAGCACCTGTGGAGAAAGCAGTACCCTGCGAGCAGAATGGCTGATCCCCTCTCTTTGGAAGGGGAGGAAGAACCATTGCAAGGTGCGTGCATGTAGGCGTGCCCATGGCACAACTTCGATGCATGAGATCATCTTCCTAAGCAACTGGCCCAGGAGGGAGAGTGGAATGGAGTGACTTAGTTGAATTCTGTTGATCAACTCGTTGATGCTGTCCTGTCGGTCCTGTGAGAGGAAGACTTCGCAGCTGTGTCAATGATGACCCTTAGGTGCAACAGTCAGGTCGTTGGAGAAAGATGGCTCTTGGCCAGGTTGATGGAGAAACCATGTTCCTGCAAAACCTGCATCGTGATTCGAAAATCCTGTTCGGCCGCCTGGATGGAGGTAGATTGAATCAGAATGTCGTCCAGATAGCATTGGACCCTCACAGGTAAGGCTCAGAGGAGGGCTGCCAGTGCTGACAAGACCTTAGTAAAGACCCAGGGTGCTGATGCAAGGCCAAATGGTAGGGCCCGGTATTGGTAGTGTTCACCACAATAAGAAAAGTGTAGGAACTGGCGATGGGGAGGCCAAATTAGGATAAAGAGGTAAGCCTCTATGAAGTCTATGGAAGAGAGGAGATTGCCCTCCCGGACGCTCTGAAGAATAGAATGCAGTGTTTGCATTTTAAAATGCCTATATGGGATGAATTTGTTCAGGAGCTTGAGATAGTTCTCCACCCCCACCCACTGAGGCCTTTGGGATAACAAAGAGGTGGGAATAGAAGCCTGGCCTCCACTGATCCAATGGAACCCTCTCTATGGCTGTGATGTCTGTCAGCTGATGGATAGCTGAGTCCATTGGGGCGTGTTTAGCTGTGTCTCAAGAGATCGGACAACTGATAAAGAAATTTGGAGCGGGGAAAAGAAACTCGAGGTGAAGGCCTGATGATATCATCCTGATGACCCAGGCATCCATAGTTGATTCTTCCCATCTGGTTTTATAAAAGATCAAACGACCTCTGATGGGAGGGGAGTGAATCCAGTTACTTAGAGCGCCTGAATGAACAACCTCCCCCTTGAAAGGGCTGCTTACCCGAGAACTGCTGTTGTTTGGGTTGGTGGTCTTGCTGTTGTTCCTGCCGAGGAGGATACGTTCTCTGATTGTGATTGAAACGAGGGGTGTTGTCTGGCCGGAAGGTTTGAGGCCTGGAGTATGTGGTGTGTCGAAATTCTGACTCCTTGGAAGAAGTTGACAGCACCTTTCTCTTGTCTCGGGTTTCCACCATGTATGATTCTAAGACTGCTCCAAAGAGGTTTTCTCTGGAGCAAGGAGCCCCCGCCAACTTCCACTTATGTTTAGAGTCAGTCTGCCAGTTGCGCATCCAGAAAAGACGCCTGGCAGACACCGAAGAAACCACTGCCTTCGAAGTGAACTTGGCGGAGCTTAAAGGGGCATTGGCGGTGAATTCGGCTGCCGCTATTGAGTCCTGGTGGGACCTGACATCGGCACTGGGAACTCTGTCCTGAAGCTGACGCAACCAGCGAATGGCAGACCTGATAAAAACGAGGCCGCAGTGGAAGCTTTCATAGCCCAAGCTGCGGCCTGGTGTGTGCACTTCAGAATTTGTTCTGATTTCTTGTCCTCCAGTCGTAAGGCATCCTCCAGTTCCGTAGAAGTGCCTGAGAAAGTGAAGATGGCTACCACTGGGGGATCTAAAGCTGGGAGAGCTAATGCATTGGCCAGGGAGGGACCCACATTAAAGAACCTCTTGTCCTGGGATGAAGGGCAAGGCCCTTACAAGGGGCTGTCACGTTGTTCCTTAACTAAATCCAAGAACAACAGGGATGGGAGAACCTCATTTCAGACCACTGGTTTTGAGAATAATGCATCTCCTTGGCCCGAGGGGCCAGCCTGTGGTTCTGAGGCTACCTCTTCTGGGCTTAACTGGGCTATAGCTAGAGCCTTTTGTAGTAATGGCTGAAACAAGGAGGGTTTAAAGGCAGCCGTAATGGAAGGCTGCTCTGGCTTAGTGTCTCTTCATAAGAGAGGAAGGGATCTTTAATTTCCCCCTCTTCCTCCTCTGAGGAGCTACCCTGTTCAGAATGGTATGAGGATCCCTATCATCCTGACTCTCTCAGGTAGAAGGATGGGGGACATACACAGGTTCCGAAGTGGGAACCTCCCTCCGTAGAGGAAGGTTACCCTGACAGAAAGAAGGATACCCGGGCCACCCCCTGGGGGGTAGAATAAGTGTTGGACACCCTCAGCGATGCCCTGTCTGACTGCCACTGAGACTACAGCCTGGATGTCCTGAGGCCTGTTCTCCAGGGAGGGGCCTATGATTTGGGGCCCAGTTCCAGGAGGGATAAGGTTTATTTCCTCCCTATGTCTATAGACCCCTAGGGGCACAGCCTGTTGAGGATTAGGCTTAGGGACATTCCAGGTAGGTGGTCTGTAATGGGCCTGACAAACTCAGGTCCTGGGGAAGGGTCTCTTCCTGCCTTTCAGGCGACCAGGCCCCTAGATGGCTAGCAGGGTTCCCATCTGACCTTCTCTTTCCTAATGATTGGTCGGTGTAGACCAATGATTGCTCTTGCAATTGCTGAACATTCTTTGCAAATTGTTTTTCTAAGGCCACATGTCTCCTTTTTTCTGCCCTAATTTCAGATTTCGAGGCCTTCTTGGGGGCAAGGGCCTTCGCCCTGATCTTAGCTGCGGCCTCCCTGTTAGCTGAGCGGACTCGTGGTCTTTTCCTCTTCAGAGTCCTTTTGGATGCCTCAGAGGCCTGAATGTGCTGCAGGCCTGATGGTCCTGGCTGGGCCCAATCGATTTCCATTGCTCAAGGAAGAGCACCAGAGGTGCTGTCAGCTCCTCCTGAGTGTGTTTTCTGAGCTGTATGGCCAGTACAAAGAGGATCACTGCCTTGGGGCCCACTAAAGAATGGCACCTGAAGGGACTCGATCACAAAATGGCCGGCCGCCACAAGGCACGGGCCTTTGAGAGCTTGTAAGATGATCTCCTGGGGCCTCACGTTGGAGTCTTACTGTAGTAATTAGAGCGATCAGATTATTGCCTTGCCATAGGAAGATAGTATTTCCTATCTATCTAGCAGCCTTGGTGGTTCAGATCGGGATCGGCTTAATTTGGTCTGTGGGACCACAGGGCTGTCTGTGAGATCTTGCAGTTTGGGGCCTCAAAAAGCTCAGGAGAGACCCGCGCTGCTGGAATGAGTGTGAGAAGCCATCCCAGTCCAATCAGCCACGTGCCCTGGTTTTAGGAGGCTGTGTGATGATAATTAGCCCCAGTAAGAGTTTGGGAGAGATTTCATGGTGTTTTAAACTAGCTCACTTACTGCCGATGTGTCAGCGCCGAGTTGAGGCAGTTGACAGGCAGATGAGAGCAGATCCCTGCTCTCCATGTGAGCAAAGCTCTACCAGAGCCCCAGGAGTGGTTCGATGGTGTTTTATCGAT